GCTTAAAGGAAAGATACCCCGATATGTTTGGTTTAGCACAAAACCAGCATAGGACAGTAGCTGGTATGAGGAGTCATCAAGGATGGGAAATCGCTCTCAGAAGACAGTTGAATGACTGGGAGATAACAAGATTAGCTGACCTTTACAAAGAGCTAGAAGCATTTAAAGGATTACAGGAAGGGTTTGATTCACTTTGGTGTCAGATACACAACAGAGGGGTTTACCGGGTGAAGGATGCATATAAGATTTTGAATCATAATCATCAACAGGTAGACTCATGGCCTTGGAAACATATATGGAAAACAAAGATTCCATACAAGGTAGCATGCTTCACTTGGCTACTAGCAAAGGAGGCGGTATTAACCCAGGATAATCTCATAAAAAGGGGAATTTCTCTGTGTTCAAGATGTTTTTTATGTGGGGAAAATGCTGAAACTGTCACCCATTTATTTCTACATTGCAAGATTACAGACCAACTATGGAAAATCTTTATTAGTCTTAGGGGTATTTCATGGTCAATGCCATACAGGGTTAAAGATGTTCTTTATAGCTGGGAAGAAGCTGGAGCTGAAGCAACTAGTAGAGATAGATGGAGGACTGTCCCGGCTTGTATCTGGTGGACAGTTTGGAGGGAAAGGAATGCTAGATGTTTTGAAGATAGAAGTAATCCAGTGCAGAAGATCAAACTCAATTGTATTCTTCTTTTTTGTTTTTGGTGTAAACAGATTTACACAGAAGATACATTGACAATCATAGACGTACTAGGATCTTGCTAGGTCTCAAATCAGAACATCTACTAATCCTCTTCATGTAAATTTGGTTTTCAGTGCAACCTATGTACTGATGTTTCTAATATATACAATAGTTACCAATTCAAAAAAAAATATTCACTCTGTCAAACAATTCCTAAGGGATACAAATTTATTTCTCCAGTATTTAACTGTAATTTAAGAGTTCAGTATGGTTTAGATGGAATTAAAATGGCTCTAGCGTGCCTGCCCGTGAATAAATAAATAAAAAGAATCTGTTCACGAAATATGTTTCTTATGCATCAGTAACAGCATTTTAATCGGCTGCGATTTCCCACTAAAGATTATTTTTTTATGCTTGCTTTGGATAGGATTCATCCAGCTGCAGCAGAATCTATGTTAACAACTTTTAGAAATCAAACTCTTCCACATATCTGGACATAGCCTCTTCCTCCAATTTGCATTCTTTCTACTCTAGACTAACCATATACGAGGATCATACCAGGAATCAAAAGCCTCAGCAAAATCTGAAGCCATCTTAAAAAAGCCCCTCAAGAATTGATTGGATGCCATAATGATCAGCAGTTAAGCCAATCATGAGCAACTAATTCATATGGAATTTAAGAGAACTGCAAAAGTAATGAATGGTGGTGATTTTTAGCAAATCTTGTGTTTATCCAAAGACATGCACCACCATTCCATAAATGCATCAAAAATTGGAGGGTCGTGGTCATCATGTACCCATGCGAATGAACCTACCAGCTCACCATAAACACTAAATAATCACCATAGCCCAACCATCCAACCCAAAAAGATTAAAAGAAAAAACTAAAACTGACACTAAAGTAATCAGCAACAAAATACATTGATCAAGTTAGACGTCCTTTCCAGTCCAATAAACCACTGCATAACCCTCATTGACCACAGTGAAAAGGAGAGAGAGGTAAGAAATTCATGCACTATAGCTGCAGATATTGGGAAAAAGTGGAGATAGAAAGTAAAAGGATGGCCTGTTCGTCATGGTGGCAGAATCTGGCTCATATGTACACATAGTAGCACCAACTTTCTGAAAACAATGGTGGATCAAATGGTCTAGCAAATGACATAGTAGTATACTCCATGCTGAGAGCCAAGAGGGAAATACAACAGAGATTTGGCAACAAGGTGCAGCCTTTCAGAGAAAAGTAACTGTAGCTAGTACGATCTCCAAGAGGGAGGGTGAAGGACCGACATCATCATATCGCCATATGAGTGAGGATTATAGAGAAATATTATGGGGAAGGGGGTGGGGGTGTTTAGTAACGACATCATTTAAAGCAACAACAACAACAACAAACCCAGTTTGATCCCAACAAGTGGAGTCTGGGGAGGGTAGTTTGTACGCAGACCTTACCCCAACCTAATGCAGGTAGAGAGGTTGTTTCCAATAGACCCTCGGCGACATCATTTAAAGCATGAATTGGATATAACATAAGTTTGACTTTTTGTAAGCATACTTGGAGTAGTAACGACACCCTCAGTCATGTCCTTCCGACAATCTTTAGCAAATTGAGCTAGAAAGCTATTGCAATCACTCTGGTACATCGGACACAAAACAGTGGAACTTCTTTTGTTTTTATAATCGCGGTGTCTGGGCTAGCTTGCGCGCACCTCGACTAATTCTACGGGATACCTGCTACCTCCCACTAGCAACAGGTACCAGGTAACTCTGTCTAACAAGGCTTGAATAGATGGGAAGATATCACATAGTGCTTTTGCCTCCGCTGGGATTTGGACCCGAGACCTCATGGTTCTTAACTCATTTCATTGACCACTAGGCCACATCCTTGGGTGATAGACAGTGGAACTTTTCGAATTTAAGATTCTAGAGAAACTTATAGGATAGGGAGAGTTACAAATGTCATGGAACTACTATACAAGCAAAGCATTACATGCAGACCAGGATGCCTAGAAATGAAATGGGAGGGGAAGCGAAATTAGTTTGATGAGGTCCTTCTTCCACCAACTATTAAGGACAAAAGATACAATGTTTCCACACCCATCCATGTAGATTCCCAGCACCGAAGAAGGGAAAATCTTTCACTTGGCCAATAACAAGGGTTCTGCAAGGGCAACCATCTATACAACCCCCACCCCCCCCAAAAAAAAAATCACTTAAAGGATGCTGGTTAATTACGAAAGAAATTCTTTCTTAATCTAGGGAGTTCCTTTTCGTTAAGCGCATTGAACCAGGAGTGGACATTATCATCATCTGCAGAAAAATCCAGATCCTCTTTCATCATTAGCTAAAGTGGAATAGTATGACTGGCTTTCCAGAAAATAAGACGAAACCCGCTTTATCGATATGATAAACATGTGCTCAAAAAGACCTCCTAAACCCCCCGCCAAGCGATCGAGTTTAGTCTGATTTTGCTGTAGAAGTAGCTCCTACTCCAGACCGACTTCAAGCAAAGAAAGGATTGGGCAATTCCGCAGGTTCTTACGCTTACCTTATTATTAAGGGGAAAGGGCTTTTTTATAGATGTTGAGGGGGCATTCTTACATCTGAATACGAGGAAAAGAAAGATAACATATCTTAGCTGGTGATACATGGGGTGTTACATTGTAAACGCTCGGGAGAAGACGTCGACCACTAGTTGTTAAACTACCAGGTTTCTAGTCATTTATGGTGGATGGTACTGAATCTGTTCGGAATACAGTAGGCAATGTCGGTTATAACCAAGGATGTGATGTTCATGTAGGTTTTTTAGAAGAAGGAAAGAAGACATAGATGTAACCCCTTTCACCATCATGTCAGTACTTCGGAAGTGAAAACTAAAAAATTTAAAAGTGTGAAAATTGATATTTCTACAAATGAGGAACTGTCTTTTGTTTCTTGTCAATTTTTGGTACAACATGAGCTTCATGTTAGTATAGATGATCCAGGGTTAGTTGTATAGAACCAAACATCCGTGATACAACATGAGGTTCAAATTAGTATAGATGATTAGGGGTTATTTGTATAGAACCATACATCCACACCTCCATGTAGGCTCTGTACTTTCGTATGCCACTTGTATAGCGGGATTCTCCTGCTACATTAATAAAATTATTACTTTACTAATAAAAGTAAAAAAGTTCCTGTTGAAAGCTAGAGGATGCCATGGAAGCTGGGCCTGGAGAAAATTTCATGATACAAACTAACAGTACCTTCAGCAAGGAATGAATGCCCAAATGTTTCAGAGAAGCCATTATGGTGAAGTGATTATGCAGTTTCCCAGCAAATCTTTGTTTAAGCAGTTTAAGGATGCCAAATGCAAATGAGTACACAGTATTTCTTCTCACCTTCTTATTCAAACTGCAGATAGTCAGAGGCAATTCTTCAAGTTTGTTAATGAAAATCTTCCCTGGATTTTCAGTTCCAGGACTATATTCAACATCTGACATGAATGTAGAAATTTTAAGATTCAGAAGAAGATAACAATTTTACCACTTGAGAGAAGTCAACAAATTTCCTCAAAATGGCATTGCAACAGAAATTCACAAGCTAGAATGAAAGAGTTCCCTAGAGAATGAGAAGGAAAATCCCTGAATATGCTTGAAACTAATTGTCTGAAGGGAAGATAGTTGTGAGCTTATACCTGACGGTTTTCCCGGAGATCCTGCAAAAATAGGTCAGGTGATGAGATGTTTGCAAGCACAGTACGTGAAAGAATGAGAACAAACTTTCCACCCACAGTTACTACAGATATCAAACCTTCTGTCAATAATTATCATACCCACTCACCTCAATCAAAAAAATCATGCATATGTTGGTAAAGATTAAAGAATTTAGTTCGGTAACGTAAGGGATTTTAACTTCTTTGAGATAAGTGCAGCCTTTGAGAGTTTTGGAACCTTTTCATGGAGAACAAATTTGAAATCCAATCTGAGCTTCAAAAGGAACATTTTAAGTGCTAGGGTTTGGAGGGAAATACATTTGAAAGTAGGTTGCTTAAAAGCTAAAAACTATCAATCATTTAGTAACAATTATAGGAAACATCTTAAACTTTTTTCTCAGAAAACTTCATGTAATTTCTTCTTAATTCTCTTTTCCTTTTTCTTTAAGTTATCAGTGCGTAGGTGGCTTATCAAAAAGAAAAAAGCACAAACTTTTCATTGCATTGGAACTCACGAAGAACGGTGAACAGCCAGTCAGAACTTATCAATGGGGAAATCTCCTCGTCCATGTAACTGGAAACTACATGCATATAACTTCCAGAATGGTCGCCCCATGCTAGTGAAACCTCACTTACAAAGTTGTCTATGGCTGTTGACTGGAAGACAAAACAATTGTAGGAATATAATCTTGCTTTTTCTTGGAGCAGGCGCACCTATAACAAACAGTTGCAACTGTTTGAGTTTCAATATCTCTGAAAAACAGTGCACATCATTACACTAGTGCCACTTTATAAGGTGAACAAAATTGGGATTTGAGAAGTTAAAGAAAATATAGCAAGGACCAAATTTTGGAGTAAAATGTAGAAATAGAAAGAAAAGGATATAAAAGCTATTGATGAGGACATTTCAAACCGCTTCGATAGGCAGGGAAAGTATGAGACAGTAGGCGCAAAGTGCAAACATTTCTTTGCACAAAGCCATCTCAGTTAAAGAATATTGCACCAAAAAATACAAAAGAAAGCAATACAAAAACAAAAAGGCCATCACCTTATAAGCAGAAAGATCAGGTTCATAAGATATACCCTGCATAAATTGAAATATATAACATTTCAGTCATATAATCAAACAATTCCTTCACTACCACAAATAATTAAAGGGAGAAAAACAATTCTCACAACCCACAAATCTAATTATTTCAGCAATGCAACATTTTTCCATAAAAGAATCAACTTTACCCAATTCAGAATAACACAAAAAAACCAATATGACATAATTAGATAGAACAGTAATTAGTATCAAGCTATTGTAAAGAAAGCACTCACAAGGCATACAACCACAAAGAAGACAAATGAAAGTCTCCTTTTGGGCATGTAACTTCTGAGTTCTGACAACTCTCACCCTCCACCCTCCACCCTCACCCTCACCCTCATCCCCACCTACCCACAAAAGAATCAACTTTACTCAATTCAGAATAACACAAAAGAACCAATATGACATAATTAGATAGAACAGTAATTAGTATCAAGCTATTGTAAAGAAAGCACTCAGAAGGCATACAACCACAAAGAAAACAAATGAAAGTCTCCTTTTGGGCATGTAACTTCTGAGTTCTGACAACTCTCACCCTCCACCCTCACCCTCACCCTCACCCTCACCCTCATCCCCACCTACCCACAAAAGAATCAACTTTACCCAATTCAGAATAACACAAAAGAACCAATATGAGAACAGTAATTAGTATCAAGCTATTGTAAAGAAAGCACTCAGAAGGCATACAACCACAAAGAAGACAAATGAAAGTCTCCTTTTGGGCATGTAACTTCTGAGTTCTGACAACTTATGTCTATGTGAGTTACAAACCCTAGATAAGGAATGAGGGGTGGAAGAGACAACCCGATAAAGCAAAATGAATACATATGATTCATATAGTATTTGAGATTGAGACTTAGAGTGTGTTTGGTGTGGACGAGTCCAATTTTCCCATGTTTGGTTGTAATGTTTTGGAAAATATTTTCCTTAAGAATACATTTTCCTCTAATTTCTAATTTCTCAAAAATGACAAGAAACTCTCTCATGCCATATCCATCTGTTGGTTCCCACCCTCCTACTGCCACTGCCACCTTGCTCAACCCACCGCGTCCCACTCTCACTCTCCACCCTCACCCTCATCCCCACCTACCCACACCCTACCCCCATACCCACCCCCACTCCAACCTCCAAAAGTTAGTTAATTTGTCACCAGAAAATTATTTTCTGCTTACTTCCTTAGTACCAAACACACCCTTAGTTGATTAATTGATCGATTGAATGATTGCATGTGATCGCACCAATCAAAAAATGTAGTCCAACTATAATAACTGAGCTGAATAGAGCAAAATGCATACAGAAAATTCATAACACACCTAAATTTGTTATTACAAAATGATTAATCATGATTTGTGACTTCGGGCCAATCAAGAATGAATTTTGGGAATTCCACAATATATTGCAAGAATTTAAAAGAGAACAATAAATGCAAAAAAAAATTATATAGAGGAGTGTTTACATACAGTGAGGATTTTGGAGTAACGAAGCTGGCGAAGAATATAATCAGCTCCAGGCCCAAGAGAGACACTTCCATTTTCATCATCATTTTTATCGGCTGCCAACAGAACTGAAGCGTCCAGCACTATACCTTTCACCCCACACATTCTTCTCTTTCTCTCTCTCTCACACACACACACACACTGTGTTTCTCTTCTGTTTTCTGCAAAGTTTGCTTTTGCATAGAACTGCGTGAGTTTAGCGTTCATCCAGCATAAAAGTGGAACTTTTCGGAGTTTTCTGTAAGTTGCAAATGTTTGGCTAGGTCCCTAACTCTTTTTATCATGTCTATTACATCCTCGGCTTTTTGTTCGTTTTAAAATGATCCCTACTCATTGTACAAAGGAGGCGCTTTTAATAAATTAGTTAGCGATGCAAGTGTATCTCGTGTCAGTCAATATAAAAAATTTTAAGCAACATAAATATTAGTATAATCAAAAATTTGAAGCTTCAAAAGTGCAAGGTCAATTAGCAAGATGTGTGACCAAGTTAAATCTCATCATAGTTGATCCATTTGACACTGTCCAAAGAACAATAGGCAAAAAGAAATTTAAAACTCCTCCATCATGCATTACAGTTCAAGTTGTTGTTTGCTATAAAATTTACAGTCTTAAAATATCTGTTTATTGTCAAACAAATATGCTATGCAAATCCAAAATTTGATTTCATTTTCACATAAACTTTTTCAAATCGGTTCCCCTGCCAGTGAGAACTCTCACTAAGAAAATGGTAAACTTCTCATGTCAACTATTATAGGCATCCTATACTATATATCGGGTGAAAAGGACAAAAAAATTATTTATAATAAAATTGAGCCCGAGAACAAACCAAAACTATAAAAGCTATATAAATTTATATAGATCTTTTACACCTCAAACAGAATCTTCGCTCCTAAATCCAACTCTATTGATGTTAAATTAGCATACATTATGTAGCAAAATCCTCGTTTTCATGACTGCCGTCATATAAGCCGGAGCAACATATGTGCAATCAATTTTTTCTTAGATATTATAGACCTTTAGCTTTTTCTAGTAGCTCCTAATTGAATTACATAAATGATATATCAACATAATGTCTCTTTATTTGCTCTAACGTTTAGGTTATTTGAAGTTTATGTGTAATTATTCTATTATGCATATTTTTAGAAGAAAATGAAAATAGCAAGAAGTGAAAGAAATTCAATTGTCTTTCCGTAAACCTATCAATTTTAGTTTATCGGAAACTTTCTTTTTGAATCAGTATTCACAATACTGCTTCTTTTAACAATAACATATTAATTTTAAAAGTTCGGATTGATTAATACAGCTTTTAAACAATATTGGCAATTCCCTATAGCTTTTATGCTAAGTCCACCAAAATTTAGACTCAAAAATATCAGTTTGATCAGTTTGTACTCCTAGCATAGAGGGAGGACATTTGCTGAAATTTATGAAGTCTATAATTGAAACAAAGATAGTTCCTTGAAAGGATAGAATCAAATAGCTATTTGAAATAAGAAGCAAATAAAACTATGATTCTCACTATAAATTCACATAAGAAAAATATCAAATGTTTTAGCATCGATAATTGCACAACACATCTGCCATGAGAAACACCTACCAACCCAAAAATCGATGAACTGAATTATAGATATTTGACATAAACTACAACCTGCATGACTCAACAAAAATTGTAGGGCATTCATTACACAATGGTATGATATAACATAAATACTAAGTACTATCTAGATAAACATAATATACAACTGTATGAAAATCTCTAGGTTATGAAATATATAGATAAGCCAAAGAACGAATAATCTCTAAGGTTTTTATTTGTATGAAAATGATGCAATTATAACATACCTAATGAATAAAAAGACACACTGCAAAGATATATTGTTAAATCGCCACTTTCCTCAACATAACTCCCCTTTTGAGATATTTATATTTTTATCCACCATTAAATAGCAATTAAGCGTGACACACAGAAAAACTTTTCAGTGTGTAATGGATCTAACCTATAATTTCTATTGAATTCGTTACGACTTATCGAATTCTTTTCTTCAAGTTTCAAGAGTAACAAATAGAAGTTCTTATTTCTAATTTAACTTTTTTTAATCTTTATTTTAATGTATAATTACAGCTTTGTACAAAGATGTTATAGGAATACATAGCTCTTTATTGAAGGGCATAAATGTCGTTCACCTTTATTTGGATATTTGAGTCTTTTAACATCACACTAAGGACTTCACATTTATAATATAATATATATATATATATATGACTAGTCTTACGGTACGTGTTTTTGCGCCCCTGTCACTCCCACTTTTTCAATAAATAAGCCTGGGGCCCCCTCTATGATAAGGAAGTAAAAGAAATAATTTCAATTTTACGACAAATCCGGTCCAGACCTCTCTGAATCCCAAGAAGAGAATTTACGGTCAACGCTACCTCAAAGAGCATGACCCCGTTGACGAATAGAATATCTAAATTGCGGCCTGTTGCCATATTAATGAATATAATTTTTTTAAAATTATTTAAATATAACTAAATAATGTATATTTAACGTGCAATTGTCGTGCCATTACAAAAGTATTTCTAGAATTTAATGTTGTCTTTAAGATTATAATGATGGTAGTACCGAAAATTTATATATAATATAGAATAATTTAATGTATTATTTAATATTTTTGTACATAAATTCTATATATAGAAGGTGTATTTGATTTAAAGGGTAAAGGAAAAACTATTGTATACCTATATAATCAAATTAATATAATGTTCCGCAAAATGATAACCGCAACAATAAGACAATATTACTTCGAAATGGGACACCATTTATACATTCTTTCGAGCTTGTATTTTAATCATTTTGACTCTTAATATTATAGTATAAGTGGCTATGCAAAATTTATGATTTCTTTTACCATACTGCCATTCGTTTAAAAATAAATTTGTATATCTTGAGAGTTGTGTTAACTTAAAAATGATTTTACCCGTATGATGAATTTAGAAAACCTGAATCAGATTCTTTGGCTAATTAGTTAATTTAAGTTCTTAATAGTTTATTCTTAATACTAAAAAAGTTAAGTTATTTTGTTGATTCAAGTTCTTAATTAAGGGCGATCATAAAACCCGAAAACCAAATCAAACCAAATCGAGCAAAAAGATCGATACTTTTTTTTTGTTTGGTTTGATTTTGATTTTGAATTTTAAAAATCGATCAAATTTGGTTTGGTTTTGGTTTTAATTAAATAACCGAAAAAAATCAAACCAAACCAACTATAGAAGTAGCTATTTAAAATTTATTATTATACCTATATATGTAATTTTTTAATATAAAGTTTCAAAAATTGTATGGTACATGTTAATCGTTTGTACTTTTAGTCTAGTACTTTGCTATTATGATAATCTAATTCTTTACTTTTCTTTTGCTAAGCGAATCTATTTTATTTTACAAAAAATTGAATCCTTAAATTTTTCATCACTGTTTGATTCAATTGTTATCAATATATCTTGGTAAAATAGCAATTGGGTTGATAGTGTTATGTTGAGAACATAGTCACCCGAATATGTGTTTGTCTCATATTTAAGAAAAAATTGATAAATAATTGAAAAAACCATAAAAACCGACATAAACCGAATTGATAAAAAAACTGACTTAATTAGTTTGCTTTGATTTAAATATTTAAAAAACCGACCTACTTAGTTTGGTTTTTTTATAGGAAAAAACCGATCCAAACCGAATCATGAACACCCCCATTTTTAATATTAGTCCATCAAATTTTTTAAATATTTAAGCATAATTACAATTTTGTCCAATAAAAATTTTATTTTCAAAGGGTAAAATATTAAGCAACATTTCAGTTTCGAATCGTTTAGTAGGATAGTTAACCTTTGCCAATCATCTCTCTTGTTGTTAAATATTTTTTCTGTTATCTATTGTAAGTGTTAGAATCTATTTTTTAAAATATTATATAAAAAATTAATAAATGTAACGACCTGGGCTCACACTGTGCATATATTGTCCATTTTGGTCCCACCCCCACGATTTTGTTCTCCCCCAATTCCACTAGGGAAAAGGCCTATGCACATGTAAGTCTCAGTCTTACTAATATAGCCTAGGACTCTCCCTCTCCTTTCCGTTGTGGGATTCCTGTGAGCTACAGTCCCACTGCACTCACCCCACCAATAAGGAACAACGTCGTCGTTGTGGGTACCCACCCATCATACTGGTCGAGAGTCGGCTCTGATACGAACTGTAACGACCTAGGCCCACATTGTGCATATATTATCCGTTTTGGGTCCCACCCGCACGGTTTTATTCTCCCCCAATCCCATTGGGGAAAAGGCCTATGCACATGTAAGTCCCAGTCTTGCTAATATAGTCCAGGACTCTCCCTCTCCTTTCCAATGTGGGATTCCTGTGAGCTACTGTCTTACTACACCAATGTAACGACCCGACTGGTCGTTTTATTTTCTAGAACCTTGTTCCCCTAAATAAGACTCTCCATACTTGCTTTAACTGATTTATGACTTGCGGGGATAGTTGTTTGGGTTGAAATTGGAACACTTGGTTCCTTAAGGTTGGCCTAAAAGGCCAAGTTTGACTTCGATCAACATTTGAGTAAACGACCTCGGAATTGGGATTTGATGACTCCAATAGGTTCGTATGATAATTTCGGACTTGGGCGTATGTTCGGATCGGGTTTTGGATGACCTTGGAGCGTTTTAGCGCATAATAGTAAAAGTTGGTTCTTGGAAGCTTTAGAAGTTCTATAAATTTGGTTTGGAACGCGTTTTGGTGATATCGAGGTCCAAATGGAATTTTGAATCGGAAATAGTTTTGTAATGTCATTTAAGACTTGCATGCAAAATTTGGTGTCAATCCGAGTAGTATAAGCATTGAAAGTAAATTGAAGAACTTGAAGTTCTTAAATTTGATTCATTGGTTTTGGGTGACAATTCTTAGTTTTTGATGTTATTTTGGTGTTTCGATCGCGCGAGCAAGTTTGTATAATGTTGTTAGACTTGTGTAAGTATTTAGTGTGGAGCCCCGAGGGCGCGTGTGAGTTTCGAACGTGTGTTAGGAGTGAAAACGCTCCAATTTTCTGGTATTTCTGGGCAGTTGTTGCATGTCTCGCAAATGCGAGAATTTTTTCACATTTGCGAGGAAGTCTTCGCAATTGCGAATAAGCCTGAGCTGGGCAGTCGTTGCATTTGCCACATTTGTTCGGATTTGCGAACACAACAGGGACCGCAATTGTGACCCAACGTCGCATTTGCGGCCCTTGCAGAGTG